CAGTTTATAATTACAGGTTGCATAGAGGCTCCATGTCCAAAGGGATGTGTGGAGATTTGAGGCCAGGGATTAAAGGTAGAGAATGTGGGGAAGGACTTCTGCTCTCAGCTGGCCTTATCTGCTAATGTTTGCTAGCATCTAGCACGAAGTGAAACGGCACAGAATGAGTGCCTCGCCAGAGTGCAAAGAGATAGGTATTAAGAAGACTTAGGGGTGGTGAGGACAAAGTAAATAAGGGTGGGAAGTCAGACATGAAGGTAAAATGAACATGAACGTCCCGAAGCAGGACCCTGTCTGTCTTGTTAAGATCCAGAACAGTGCACAACCTAGTGTTGTCTTTTCCAATGCACATAAACATTCACAAAAATCAACGTTTTGTTAGGTCACAGGGGAAACCGCAACAAATTCTCAGCAGACTTCACATAAGACATATTCATTGTTCATGATGCATGTTAAAAACGAGCAACACAAATCAAAACCCAAACCAAACCAAAACAAAAGCAAAACGTTATCCATTTCTCTAATTTGCTCTTAATTTGATGAAAAAGAGAATTAAATTGAAATGATAAGCTACTTTGAAAAATTTGACAATAGGAACATTCATATCCAAGCCTGTGGGATGCAATCAAAACTGCATTAAGGGAAAATTCATTAGAGATTTTAGAAATGTGTGTGTGTATGTGACACGTTTATATATACTGGAATATACGGAAAGATATATGAAAATAAGAAAGCAAAAGGAAGGCAGCAATAAATATAAGAGCAGAAATTTAATGACTATGAGACACCCCCGCTTCCGGCCACCTTCCTAGAATTAAAGAATAAAACTAAAAGCTGGTTCTTTGACACTCCTGGGAAGATTATAAAATGGATAAATCCAAGCAAGGAAAGAATGAGAGAGGGATCAAGGGGTGGGGGGAGTATTTTATGCGAATGAAAGCAAGAAAGGAAACCAATGTTAGCATTATAAACAGAAAAGGTAAATAACATCAATGCAGAGGAAATTAAAAAAGAACTTGATGAAAATATTAGGTACAATATTATACCAGCAGATAAATGATGGATTATTTAATAATAACTTGATGATGCCACATGCTCTGGTACATGCCTGTAATCTCAAAAGCTCAGGAGGCTGAGGGAGGAGGATCTGCAAGTTCAAGTTCAGCCTTAGTAACTTAGTGAGAGCTGGTCTCAAGAAATAAAAAGGGTTGAGGATATGGACCAGGGGTTGAGCACCCCTGGGTTCAATTCTTACCGCTACTACTACTCCTATTACTAATCTGGTGACAAGTGATCAATTTAATCAAAAAGTCTAGCTCTGACCTCATAATAAGAAAAGTAAAATACAGATTGACCAAAGAGTTAACCGGAAATAATAAAAAAACTACAAAGCATTTGGAAAAGAATAGAAAGACATAAGATCAAGGAACTAAGGTCTTCTTAAGGCACGAAATACAAAGATAATAAAGGAAACAACTGATGGATTATTATTAAGAAAAAATTTTGTAGGTAAAATAACGTTAAGGCAAAAGTGACCAAGGAGAGAATATTTTCATATGTAACCATCACAGAACTAGAATTTGTAATATGATTCGGAAATAAAACCAATTCCTAAAGTCAATAAGAAAAAGATAAAGAGTACAATAAAATAACGTAATAAAATAATGTGAAAAAATATAAACGTGCCTTCAGACAAGAAAAATGCAAATAGCCAAACATAGGAAAAAACTGATTGGTAGTAATTATGAATCTACTAACTAAAAAGAACTTTTTCTAACATAAAATTGGCAAAAACCGAACAGACCGACAATGATATCGTTGACAACATGCGAGAACACACTGGTGCGGCTATGGCTATGTAAATTGCTGAGGTCTCGGGAGCTCAGTTGGCAAGTCTATTTTAAAATTAAAGATCCACACACACCACCAGTCAGCAATTTTACTTTTCGCAAAAAAAGATGTGTGCAATGACAATCTCTGTAGTATGTTCCTAACAAGGACACCTTGGAAAGCCTTTAAATACCCATCATTGTGGAAAGTTATTGTAATTAAAGTAGAGTCGTTTTTTTGTGGTGAGCCAAGGGGTCCTGAGTGGGGCCCTGGAAGTGCCTGAGCCAGCAGGTGATTATCACCAGCAAGGCTTAGCATTGTCCCGACAGGACATGATGTGGTGATGAAAAGCAGAGGGACTGTCAGGACTTCCTATTGTTTTAAAATTTTTTTACAGATAATACACCCCTTAGGACTGCTCTCTAGATGAGAAGCTCCCACACTCACACCCCTACCCCTGACATACCACCTCCATGTAATCTTTTGCACATAGAATGTGTGGATCCCTGTGTGCTGACTGACACCTCTACTGCTTGGCTGTCAAGAGACAGGAGTGGAAGAATATGGACAGCATGATGCCGATTTTGCTACGACACAGATACGTTTCTCAATTGTGTTTCTATATGTACTATACAGATACGGATACATGGAGATGGATTGACACCAAATACACCTGTAATTACTTTGGGGAAGATAACAGGGGTTTAGAGTTGTGATCAAAGGGAACTTCATCTATACACTTTAATATTTTTTACATGGTAGAATATTCATTTTATATTATGTTAATTTATTTATATGATTAAAAAGCAACAGTTTACATATTTTATTGATTTGGAGAAGACACCTGCCCCCCTCCCCCACCCCTTTAGTAAACTAAATTGAAGGGAGGACGCAGAGGGCCAGGGTTTTGATGCCTCTGATAGCGCCACATTAGCTCCACCTAGTGGGGATAAAAGGACATTGCTACTCGCTCAGAGTCACTCCCAGGAAAGGAGTGGCCCGGGTGCCTTTTGGCTGGCGTGAGCCTTCTCCCTATTTATACCTTGCAAAAGATTAACATCAGAACATAATTTAAAAGCCATTATGTCATAAATAGAAGGCTTCAGGCACCTGATTGTGGTAGTGATGAGGCATTTTATATCCTTACATGAATCATGTGGTTGACCCTCAGGAGCATCCCTTGAGGCAAGTCACTCAAAGTCTCTGCACGAAAGTCTCTACTTGAACTAGATAACAATGATTGACAGCAGTTAGACTGAATTTTTTGTTGCTTCACTCTATGGTCATAACAATCCCATAAGGCAGATTTTTAATAATCTTATGTTATAAGGAGGAGAAAATAAGAGCTTGGACCAAATAAGATACTGTTTTACAGGCAATATATTAGCAGGTGGAAGTGATGCTAGATTCTGTGTTCTGAGGCCTTTCATGGAGGGGCTCAGGATCGGATCTGGCTGATGGATTCATAGAAGGTCTTACAGCAAACACTGGTAAAGATCCAGCCTGAATCCCATGGCCTGCAGCCTTGAAGGACAGTTTCTGGCCCACTGATATCTTCCAAAGTCAAGCTTTCACATCTCTCTTCTTCACCTGAGGAATTTCTCAGGTCCCAACCGCACAAATCTGGCTATGTACAGAGTTAATGCCCACCCTGGGTGAGGACAACCCTCTACCAATGGAGGATGGGAGATGTGGATCAATGCCTCCTGTCCTCCATTTGGAAAATTCTGAGCTGTGTCCTATGTGGTTTCCTAGAGAGTCTCTGGTAGGACTGCCCAGCTGCCTTTAGCCCACCTTAATTGACATTTCTCACTTCCCTGTGTCACACTTGGGCTTCTGGGATCCAATTCCTTGACTCAAGTTTGATTCTGGTGGTACCAAAACTAAGAGTGCACTGTTGCTAGGTACTGTGGGAGTCATGATGACATTCAGGAAGTGGATGTGGATTCTCCGGAGCATGAAGTCAAGCTGATAGTGATTTGATCAATGACTCTGTGCCCACAGGGGCATGGCAATATAATTAGATTTCTCATAAGACTTCCAGTTTCAAATACGACAATTCATTGCTTCTATGAGATTATTTAAACTTTCTGGGCCACGTGTGTCCCTTTTGAGTTTGGAAACTACTGCTATGAGGAGGCCATAGTGGGCTCCATGAGGTCTGGTGGTGGGTCTGCAGTGATGTTCAGCAGGACTTCCCCTGAAGAGGCAAAGGCACAGGTGCATCAAAAAAAGGGTGTAGAGCTAAGAATGAGCAGCGCTTTTAGGAATATGAGATCAACCCAGATAGGGAATCCATGGCCCGAGATTGCAAGAAAAACTATGTGCGTGCATGTGCGCATGTGTGCGCATGTGGCTGTGTGTGTGTGTGTGTGTGTGTGTGTGTGTGTGTGTATGGGTACATTTTTCTAGGGATAGAGTTCAAAGCTTTAATTGCATGTTCCAAGTGGGCTCAGAAACTACACCACATGATCAGAGCCACCAAGGATCCTGAGAGGGCTGTGAGGTAGACTAAGAATCCCAGAATGTTAGCACATCACAGAAGGTTAGCAACTGCAGAATGTTCAGTATGATAACGGCACCTTGAGTTATCATACTGAAACAGCATTTACTGAGTCCCTGTGCCATGTCTGGGACAGATCTGAGCTCTTTATAAACATTCGCTTGTCCCAACCTTCCTCTGAGCCATCTCCATTTTACAGATGTGGCAACTGAGGACTTGAGAGATGCCTTGCCCAAGGTCAGACAGTTGGATTCGAACCCAGGCGGCCTGACTCTAGAAACCTCACCCTCAACTCTACATCACTGGCCTTCAAACTTTAGCACCCAGTAGAATCTCCAGGAGAGTTTGCCAGGACAGATGATCTAGCATGTTCTGGGTGGGGCCTGGGAAGCTGCAGGGTTAAGAAGTTCCCAAGTGCGCTAATGCTGCTGGTGTGGGGAGCACACTTTGAAAACCACACTTTGAATTCTAAGCTACTGTCTCCAAAGAAGAGGACATGGAGCATTGAGGTGACCTGGCATGAGTCACTCAGCTACTTAGCGGTAAAACCACGATGACAATCTGCTTCTGTGGATTCCAGAGCCAGGACTCTTGAGGCCACTTAGCTGGGAGGAGCGCATATTCTACTTCAGAAGTGTGTGCACCTGAATTTTCACACTGAGACCACAGGGGTGCAGTCTGTTACCTGGGGATGGGCACTGGTGGAAGATGGTTCCTTGTTTGGCTCCTCTGAGCCCACGCGGGCCCTTCTCCACCGCCTGGCCCGCCGGTCTACAGTGTGTGGGGCCTCCTCTGGCTCGCTGCTGTCTGAGGTCTCTCCACTGGCCACCTGGGGGTTGAAGTTCACGTCCAGCTCTCCCTGTAGACGCATCTTCTCTGCTGCGGGGTTCTTGGGGACCTTCCTCTGCATCCAGGACAGTCTGGTCCTGTGCCCAGCATCCCGGGAAGAGCCTGCTGAGGAGGTCTCTGAGTCAGAGCACATAGCCTCAGGGTTGGGGGAGAGCCCAGATAAGGAGATGGCTGAGGGGCCTTGGTCAGCGCCCTGGGCCTGTGCAGGCTGTGCCTGGGGGTGCCTGGGCAGACCCTGGGACTGCGGACATAGCTTGCTTAAAACCTCACTCCAGTCATAGTCCTCCTCGCTTTCGGAGCCCATCTCATCATAGGCAGATGCCACACTGGAAGCCACCTCCAGGGCCTGGAACGTCCCACTCTTAGGTTTGGCCAGCAGGCGGGTTGGGGGCGGAGCACCGTCCTTCAGAGCCACCCAGTTCCCATCCGGGCTCTGCAACACTGGAACCGGACCTGTGAGAGGACAGGAGAAAGAAACCAGAGAGCGGTTACCATTAGAGAGCAAGGTGAGGCTGTCACTTGTCACCTCCCCATGATGGGCTCCTGGGGGGGTGTTAGGGAGCAACAGCCTTTAGGAAGACCCACGGGTCATACTTCACTGGGGAAGAAGTTTAAGGATTCTTAGGAATTCTCTTGAGGCCTCACAGCTGGAGAGAAGCTTGGAGATATAGCTCTACCTGAGTTGATGGCCACCTCAGTCTCCTAAGAATCACCCTGCTCCTGCCCTGGGCTGGCAGGAAGGGCTGCAGTTGGCTCTTTGACCTTGGGTCATGGTTTTGTCTCTTAGATCCTTGGCTTCCCCCCACCAATGGGAAATTATTCCACCACCTGTCCTGATTGACCTCACAGCTAAAGATGTTTACCCTTGGGACACAGATTTCACTCAGCAGCCCGTGAGACGGACATGGAAGTCTACTGTGAAGTCAAGGCACAGGCCTCCTTCTGAAAAGGACTTGAGGCCAAGGAGGTTGGTATTTCCAATTCCGTCTTACAGAGGAGGAAAGGACGATAAGCAAAGTAACTGGTTAAAGGTCCCAGAGAGCAACTGGTAGAGCTGGTTCAACATGCATCCTTCACCTGGCTCCAGGCAGCTCTAGGTTATCGGCTGTGCAATGGAAGCTCTTGACTGGCTGAATAGCTCGGGGCAAGGGCAGACTGCGGCCCTGGGCTGGGTTGGTCTGAACTGAATTCAGGTCATCTGGGATAACTGGTACCTGGCCCAAGGGCTGGTCTCTTTGAGGGAGTAAAAGTTGCTTTGTCTTATTTTTGTTGAAGGCGTATAGGAAAGCGTTATCTGCCCACGTCCCTGGAGTAAGATGACAGGTGCTTTTTTAGTGGGAGGTGGCTTTGGCACAGTAACTGCCAATAGAAGCTGTTTTAAAATGAGGGACTTCGCAGGTTGCTGGGGATGGGTGAAAAGGGCCTCAGGGGTTTGAAAAGGGGCCATTCCCCAAATTGTGTGTGGACTCCATCTTCTAGGCTAGAGGCCTTTGGGGCCATAGCTCTCTGCTGTAGGACCTTGAGTCAAGGACATACCTTGTGCTACTTAAAGAATATGGATTTTTCTACCAATTAAACCGTCACTGCTCCATATAATGGAAACGAACTAGTGTTTGTGGTGTTGTCCAAAGAGCATTGTCCTTGCTAGGCCCACTTTAGAACCAAGCCTTAGGAGAATTGGGATGTCGGTGGGACATGTGTTTCCAACTGAGCGATCCAGTTCCACTTCAACTGCCTGCCTGCAGCTCAGGCTGGAAAGACATCAAGATCCCCTCTCTTCCTTTGAAAGTCAGAAAGTGGGGCTTTCTCTTGTCCAGGAGGGCAGTGAGCCCCAGTAGCTGGCTGATGTAAGCAGGGGCTCCTGGAAGACTGAAGCCAAGTGGCACCCTTTCTCCTGCCTCCTCCGCCTTCATTATCTGTCTCTGCAACAACACAGGGCGAAACCCCAGGGGCACAGCCCCTATTCCAGGAGCGCGTCTGATCTCCCTGCCCAGGTGTAGCCTGCCGATCTTGGAACATGGAAAGCCACCCTCCAGGTGACAAGTCCTCTGAGGTAAGGTCTGCCTCTTAGCCACCTCCTTATCCTAGAAGCAAATTAGCCTTCTCTGTCCCAGAGCAGGTTTATGCAGCAGAAAGGACAGAAGTCTCCAAGTCAGAGGGCTTAAGCAGTCTCTGAGCTTGAGCCCCTTCGCTGATGAAAAGGAATAGCTAACGTCCCACTGAATTGTTAGGAAGATGACATGGGAGGATGCTACCCACACCTGCTCAGGGCAGATGAATTCCTGATAGCTCTTTTTCCCCCCGTCTTCATAAATGAATGAAGCTGCTTTTGTGCAGGGCAAAGAATAAGAACTATGGATTCAGGCAGATGCAGGGCTGATCCCCTGTGACTGAATTTACTCAAGAGACCTGGGTCAGAGAGCCTCGGAGCCTGTTTCCTGGCCTGCCAGTGTGATCCTCCCTGGCTGCTGCTGGATTATTATGAGATGTAATTCATCCATTAGAGCATCTGCCACACCGAGGGCTCTCAGATATTTTTATCTTTAATCTGTTTAATTGCATCATAGTATTAGTATTCAAAACCTGACTCACCACTCATATCTCCCATCTGTATCTACATAAAGCAAGTAAGAGCGGCCACAATTCAGTATTAAGTATTAATGTGTATTATGTATTAATATGTATCCATTGACTATGGAAGTATTTGACAGAGTGGTTAATGAGGGTTATTATTACCACCCAGAGTTTATGGGTGGGAGTTTCTATCTTGCAGGCATTCTTCCAGTGTGGTGTCTGGAGGCAGCTGAGTTACTCAGGACACTCAGGCTCTCAGGGAAGCTGGTGATAGCCAGTAAGGAGCCACATAGCTTTTCCCTGTGGGGGCCCTGCCTCAAGCCTTGGCCCTCATCCCTTCAGCCCACACCTAGTGGGCTTCCAACTTCCACCACTTGCAATTCTTTGCTTGAGTTTTTGATCTGGGTGCCAGGGCGTACATTGCTCTCAAAGGCAGGGTGAAGTGCCTGGAAATCACCTTGTCCCAAGAGTAGCCCTCAGTTAGTGGTTGGGGAGGCTCCTGGCTAAGTTCCCAGCTCTCTCGCCTGCCAGGCAGGTGGGTCTTCTACATGGACTCCCAGATTCCCCTGTGGGGACAAGCTCCAGTCACCCACAGTGATAACCTGCTTGGTAAGAGTCATTTGCTGCTTCCCTTTCCTTACTTGTTTCATGTCCCCACTCCTTTCTCTTTGAGTTTTCTGGGCTCATGTCCCAAATAAGCCACGTGACCTCAGATCCTCATGTTAGACTGTTGCTAGTGGAAGTCAAAGACACCTAGAAGATGCCAAGTAGACTGGGCCCACTCTCTGGAGAAAGGAAAGGCCCTCTGGGCTTTCGAATTAGTCACCATGTCTGTTCTCTGGACATTTGCTGAAACTTGATTCAAACGTCACTCATCAGTGGCATATGCTTGGCCTGTCTTCCTCGAGGATCTGGGTCTTGGCTTCTGAGTTCTGACAAAAAGCTTTAGTTCTTTCACACTTAACACTGTGCCGTGGTTTATTTTCTTGGTTGTTCACTCTAGTCCCAACCCTGACTGTGAACTCTTGGAGGACAGGGTCCTTCTGACTTCTCTACTGCTGTGCTTTCAACTGCTGCCCAGCTTTGGGCCCCATCCTGGGTACCTAAAGACCATTTATTAATGAACACAGGCACCAACAGGCTTCTGGGCAAGAGTGGGCTTTTGATTTCCAGCTCTCAATGAGCCCTGCTCTCTACAGATTCTCCTGGGCCATGTGAGGAAGCTGAGAGGAAATCCCCTGATAGTGCCACTCCGTGCCTGGCTCCAGGGTTGGCCATGTTGTAAATGTGGTCCTTGGACTCCAACGCCCAGTACTTAGTGGGACGAGATTCAGCTCATTGCCAGCTCTTCACTTTCTCCCGATTTTATAATCCTGTTTTCAGGTGCTTCAGGAGAAGTTAAGAATTGACTGACTTTCATCTCCAGTGAAAAACCCATCCTTAGTAAAAATAGATGTCTCCCTGTCTGCCTATTGATGCTCTCCATTCCTAGGAGGAACTTTGTCGAGCACCCCCCAGAGCTGCTCAAAGGTGCACCTGGGCTCCAAAATCCCATTCTCTTACTCTGACAGGGAAATTCCTTGGGGACCCCGCTAGCCCTAGTTCCCCCTTTATCAAAATTCCTGCTCTTTAATTTGGCAGAGACAATGCTCACTGAGCCACCTCAGAGCAGTGACCATTCCCTGGTTTTTATTTCCCCAACACTAAGCACGTGCTGTGTATACAGTAGGTGCTCAAACTCTATAAAGTGATAATGCATTTTAAGGAAATCTAATAATTGCTCTAAGTGCTGTCAAGGCTGAAGGTAAAGTTGCTGTGGTTTCCCCAGACCACAGTGTCCCCAGGGCACTAACGGGCTCTGACCAACCCTTCTGAGGTATAAACAGAGTTGCTGAAAATAGTCCAGTAGACATTAACCTTCTACCATGACCTCCACCTCTGGGCCTCTTCTGTTCTACATTTCTGCTTTGCAGAGACTGAGCAATGCCTCTGGGAGTAATTTTCTTTCTGCTAAACATGCCACATGTCCCTCAAGACCTCTAGAGTTGTCATGGACATTTTAACATGTTAAGGACTGAACATTCCTCAGAAAATCAACTGCTTTAATTTTTTTTGTTTTAAATTTTTATCCTGTGAGATGCATGGGTTTTTGAACAGAGTATAAAATCTTTTTTTTTTGTGTGTGTGATATTATTGAATTATACTTTATGTTTATATACAAGTAACATGACTGCCTAACTTTATAGAAAATTATGCACCCAATCATGTTGCAAAAACAAAATTCCTTTGTAAATTTATTAGGAATGCTCTTAATTCAGTGGGGAACTACTGTGTGATATGGAGAATCTTAAAGAAGTTTTTAAAATATCCTACAAACCTACCACTTTGTAAATCTGAATTTTCACATGATGGGTTTTTTTTTTTTTTTTTGTATGCTTGTTTTGATGATAGAGAGATACATATTATGGAGCGGCAGTTGAAAACCCCCACATGTTGGAGTCACCATGTTGGGGTGTGAGGACCAGCTCTGCTCATGTTAGCTGTGGGGTCTTGGACAAGTTATGTAACCTCACTGCCTATTGATGCTCTTACCTTCCAAACAAAATAAAAAGAGCAGTTAGCAACAGCCTTGGAGGAATACATAAAACGGACCCTGCACTTTATGAAGTGATTTTAAAGGTTAGCTATTATTGTTTAGTGAAGATCTATTACATAATATTCTCATAAGCCCTGTGGAATCTACAGTCCTTTCTCTGTGGAAATGTACATTTCATAAGGAGAGGGATACCGAGGGTCAGCGGGGGTGGTGGTGGGGAGAGTGAGTGACAGAGGAAGAAAGAAAGAGGAAGAGAATGAACGAATAAATATCAATATGCTGGGAAACAGGAGGAAAGAGAAACAGATCTAGAAATAAAAAAATGCACTTAAAAATAAAAACAAAAACTAACACATAAATAAAGAAACTATTGTGCGCTACCGAATCTGTCCTGGCTCTGCAGTTTCTACTAATAGGTGCTAAAAGATTAACATGGAAACCATCTTTTTTGGAAAAATCTTTGGAGCGACAGTTAAAAATATTCCATGTGTATGATTCTTTGCACTGTGTGGATTTTGCTTATATAGCTGTTGGTTAAATCATTTCCTTATAGAGTAGAAATGACAGCTCCATCTTTAGAAGCTTATATGATTATTTTGCTATCAATCTTTTCTGGTTGCTTTTGTTTTTCAGGTTAGGGTCTGACATACACCATGGGTGAATACCACTGGTAGTTCTTCATGTGAAGACAAATGTGCCTGGTTTCCATTCTGTGGATGTACATACCACACAGAAAGGTGCTAAACATGCCACATGTCCCTCAGATGTGTTCTGAGGCTGGGTAGGCACCTTTACTCCAACAGTCACGGGGTCTAGGAGACCCCTGAGTATGGGGGCTTCCTGGCTCTCAGCGGCTGGCCACATGGTTATACAAGCATCTTGCAGCTTTTGATTTGACTTTAGGAGAGTGACTAGCTAATTTGAACCTCTTTATTTTGAGGTTCATGACTTAACAATTTTGTCAAGGACTATTGTTACAGACGTTGAGCTCAATTGCTCCTTGCAGTGCTAGAACATTCTAGGAAAATAAATAGAAAGAACAGACACTAATGAATCAAAGTGCTATCTCCAGGTGTGGCAAGATAGACATTATACCATCTAAGCCTCTTTCATGGCTGGGTGATATTGCTGGGATACCTGAGCCACACAGGGCTACATTCCCCAGGTTCCTCTGTATGGAATTGTGGCCACATGACAGGTTTCTGCCCATGAGATGGGAGTGACAGTGGTGAGTGTGTTTCCCCATGGAGGGGTTAGGGAGTAGAGGTCCTCTGCCTCCTTCATTCTCTCTTTCTCCACCTGCTGGCTGAATGTGGATGATCTAATAGAAGTTTCAGGTCCTAGAGGGCAGCGGAGCCACAGTGCAGGAACCTTGGCCTCTGCAGGCCTCTGCAAGCCAGGGACAATTGCACTGCATGGGTGTGTGATGAAAAAGGAAATGACTGCATTAAGCCCCTTGACTGTTTGGTCTACCTGTTATAGCAGCAAGTGTTACCCTACTCATGTATCTGGTTTCAGAAAGGAATTCCTTAAAACCAGATTGATGCTGGGACCCAAATCCCTTTGAAAGCTGAAATGCCCTAAGAAGTTGGTTTAGTGAGCCTGTCCTACATAAGATGCATCCTCCCAGTCTACCAAGAACAGGGGGCTACAGTGGGGCCATGCAGCTGAGACATTTTAAAACCTTTGCCCAGGAGTACCCGTTTCACAGGTCTCAGCAAGGAACATGGGATATTGATGGCACATTAAAAGCCTTCATAACTAGAAAAACTGGCCAGGTTATATATGGTGTGCTGTGTCAGAGACCCTCTGACTTGGCCCAGCCGCCCTGAATGGGCGTACACAAACTTATGAGCTGAGTGGCATGCAACTGCTGAGAAGCCTCTGGGCAGCACTTCTGAAGCCCACAGATCAAGCAGAGGCTGCTTAAAACCGTTACTTTTTCCATCCAGCCCATCCATGCTCTTCCAGCTGGTCAGAGCAGACTCCTTCTTTTGATGCTGGCTCCAGTGCCTCGGGTGCCTTGACACAGTCTCCTGGGAAGAGGGCTTCAGGATATCTTCACCAGAGAATGAGAATGCAGACTGGGAGCGCTGTGGGGAGAAAAGAGGGGAAGGGATGAGCTCACGGGGCACAGTCCCTGGGATAAATGAGTTCAGCTGTGCAGAGGACCATGTTTAATACTATGGACTTTTTTTCTGGTGAGCCTTCAAAGCTGCAAATGAGTACACAATGCCACGTCCCTGTCACTGTACAAATGGTTCCCTGTTTATTCCACTGCAAGTGGCCAGGCTTACTAGGTAGCATAGAGGTGCAGAAGAATCCTATAGGGCCAGTTCTCACATGGCTCCTTCTTGTCCAGCCATTCTCCCCGTCCATATTTCTTAGGACTAACTGCGTGAAGACCTGCTCTAGGTCATAGAAAAACAAAAACATTTTCCCCTCAAAGACTTTCAAACCCACAGGAATACAAAGTTATGGCACGATGTATGGGTTGTAATAGATGAGCAATCAATGTAGGGTTAATCCACAAGCCCAAGAATGATCACAGCATGTTCCCATTTAGCCCACGAAGCAAAACACAATGAACCCAAACCTAAGGAGAACTGTGGAAATGGGAATTCTAATGACTGACAGGAAACATATCTGAATTGCATCATACATGTAAAGCTCAAATACTGTATACAGAGAACTTTATCAAATATGAAGAGACCAATTTTTTTTTCCTTTGCCATTTAATGAAGGAATTTCATGGTTATTTATTTTGGCCTTTCATGGTTATTTATTTTGGTCTTTTTTATATTGATGACAACATTAAACAAAGTACTGATCTGTAATTCAGGCTCCTGAGCAGGGTGCCTCCCCCTGTTGGCTGATGTTACTGCCAACAGCACCTCTCTCTTCTATCCCAGTGACAAATGTGCTCTCCTCCATGTTCTTATGTTCGTCCTCGCCCACCCCAAGCGCTTAGGATAGAAGACCCAGGGACTTGCTCAGGGAGAGCTCTGAGCAGGGCTGTGGCATAGTTTGGAGTTGGACTTGGGAGCCAGCTGTCCCTGGGCTCAAACACCACCTCCGCTATGACACCTTGGCAAAGTGACTTAATTCTGGAAAACGACCTTGCCCTGCACTCCCAGTAGATTGCATAATAGGCGAAAGCTTAAAAAAAGATGTTTGCTCATAACCAAGAAAGCCAGCAAAAGCCAGCATGGGATATCTGGGTGACAACTCCGAGCTTTATGGTTGGAGTCTGGGGAGAGGGTGACACACTCAGTGGCCTTGCTTCCTAAGGACACAACCAGTCTGAAAAAGACACAGACAGATGTGGCTCAGAATCCAGCATGCCATTACTGCAGGCCAGGTACCCTCTGGCACAGGCACAAGGCACCAATTCACTGTGCTGCAGAGTACATGGCAGACTAGCTTGGGTCCTAAGCTACAGGAAACCTCTAGTTCCCCTCACAGGACTTTTGAGCAGTCTAGGAGGATGATGGGCTTACAAGATAATAAGGAAACTTCTAAGCTGTGCACCAAGGGTTACCACCTGCTCCCATCTCTATGAATACAGAAGCAAGGGCATAATGGACCTCCAGAGATGCCTTTCAGTGCAGTGACCATAGTTAGCGTGGTTGTATGGCGAATGAGCTGCATCCTTATGGATTCCACAAAACTCTGTGCACAGGTCTCATTTCCAGCAGGTCCTGGCCCATGGAACTCCACTGACTGCCCCTTCCCCAAGCTGGTCGGGGACCTGGTTTCCTCTGCTTATTCATGCTTTACTGCACTCTACTGCAAACATCTGTCTTCTGACTGGTGTACTCACTAGACAGAAGAGCACCCAAGGGCAGTTAATGTCCTGTGAGTGGTGACATTCCCAGGCCCTGGCACAGTAAGTGGTACAGAACTAGAAGTCAATGAACACTTGCTGTGGACTTAAGGCTGGCTAGAGGAAAGGTTTTCAGAAGTGCCTGAATTATTTTTCACTAATTTCTTAGGTACAATTGGGGAGTAAGAGGAAATAATTGCATCCTGGAGAGCAAGGTTTTACTTGGAGAAGAGACAAACACACACACAAGTGGCTTGCGGCCAAATGCTTCCTTCATTCTGAGGACACAGCAAGGACTCCCTGTCCCCAGTGTTGGGAACGGTTCTGATGATGCCACTTGAAAAGCCCAAAGGTTTTCATGGAGCTGGGGATTCAAGGAACTGTTTGTGATTTTGTGAAATCCTTGAAAGATAATGAGAGGCTTTCAGAAAGCACAGAGATCAAGGCTGATAGTCAAGTGCAGGGATGTTATTAGAAAGAAGGAAACATCTTCCTAAGGCAAACCCCACGTTGTGAGGGGATATAGCCCTGGTACTGATTTCACCCAGAACTGGGCAAAGGTTTTCTATGAGACCACACAGGTCTTTCCACACATTGACTTGTCAATTTCTTCACAGACTGGGAGCTCCTTGAAGGCAGAAATGGACTTCTGTGTGTGATCCTCAGACTCATGTTTGCACCTGAATTTGCCAGGATGTACGACAGTTCTGGCTCTTAAGGGGCTGACAGTCCCATCGCCAGATCCAGTATGACTGCAGCTACAGAATCCATTCTGTGTATTCCGACTTTAAAACAAAAGTCTACAAGATTTTCACTGTAAATCACTAAATACATGTTTCAAAAAGGGAACCAAATAATATATCATATTTTATTTGTGCTGGCTCAAACTATATCTTATGTGAATAGTATATGTATGTAGGAGGTTGGTGGGGGTCCATTTTTATGAGGAAAAATGCTCCCTACCCCCCTACAAAAGTCAAGACCAACAAATGAAAACTCTCCCTAGTCCCAACAGAGAAAATGGATTCTGTGTTTTTCATGAGGGTTGGGGATGTCAGGTTTTTATAAAGCAAGCCACTGGTACATATTTAAAAAAACTATAACCTGACAACCACAAAATGTAATAGGACTGTCTCCTTCCAGCCCAGGATACTGGGCCCACTGCCTCTGGCCAGGGTGGAAGAGTCTGTTAATATCTAGACCTGGTTTTGCCACGTATTCACTGCAATAAGTAAAAACACCAGCAGATGGTGCAACAGCAGCACTTTTACTACTCGGCTGGCTCCTGGGAAGCAATAGGAATTTTTAGTAATTTATTTATTCATTACCCTAGCCAAGCCTTTGTGTCCACCCTTTCTTTACCACTCATAGCCTCGGCTTTTCCCCTTCTTCTTACCCACCCAAAGTCCACCAAAGAAGCAGGACTGGGGACGTTTGGAGTGGGGGTGGTGGAGTTTCCCATATTCAGCACATCAACACCTTGGAAAGATGGACATGAAAATCTGAACTTCCAAATAGGCACTGGCTCTTTACTCTTTGATTTTGCTTATTCATTTTAATTTTTCATTTTTTTGTGGTGCTGGAGATTGAACCTAGAGGTACTGTTATCACCAAGTCCCCCACCCAGCCTTTTTTTTTTTTTTTTTGGACAGGGTCTTACTAAGTTGCCCAGGCTGGCCTTGAACTTGAGATCCTCAGACTCCTGAGTTACTGGGATTATAGGATTGTGCCACTGTGACTGGCCTGGAGTGGCTGTTTACTCTTTGGGCACTAATTCATGGGTGAGGTTTCAGGTAGAGTGAGTCAGTGGGTCCTCCTGGGATCTTAGAGGAATTTTAACTGCTCTGAGCCTCAGTCCTCATGTTAATAGATCAGTATCATGCCCAGCACAGAGAAGGCACTTAATAAATATTAGCCCTAGTAAGAGCATTTATTAAGCCCCACCACTAACTCTAATCCATTAACCCATTAAAAATGACTGGGAGCACATGGGTAACTGAGTCGGTTGAGTAACTTCCCCAAAGCAGTTGAGGGACAGGGGCAGGGTTTGAGCTTGGATCTGCGTGGCTTCAAGTTGGTCCCCTTCCATGCTGTCCTGGTGTGCGCCTGCAGCCTCTGATGAAAGCCTGGGAACAATGTGCTCCAACCCAGCAGGGTTTGCCATCTGAACCTGCTGGCTGTCAAGCTCTCAGTGAAACACCCCTGTGATCACCAGCAGCCTTTGCTGTCCTTCCTTTGCAGTCCCAGCGTCTCCTATGTGGGCAGCAGCAATGTGTTCTACCGAGCTCTCTTGAAATGACAAATTGTTGTGATGATTGCTGTGATTATCATCATTGCAAAAGGACAGGCTTCTGAGACACTGAACATGGCTTCAAAATAGTCTTTACTCTCAAAGAGCTCACAGTTATTAAAAGAGGGAGAGAATATTTTTATTATCCAGGCTTTGGATACAAGGAGATCGATAAGCGTGGTCATATGAAGAAAGAACTGATAAAGCTTTGCTTTGTATTTTTAGGGTCAGACAAAGGCATTAAATTTAGTCCAATAATTACGCTCATAATAAAAAAGTATTTTAATTCTCTATTATGGCTATTCAAAGGAAAGAGCAACTGTGAGGGAGGAAATGAGGGAGACACAAAGAGAAAAGGCTAAGGAAAATAGAAAGGGTCCAGAGAGAAAACAGAGGAAGAGTCACACAGAGGTTCATCTTAGTCACTGGGCACATAGTCAGCGTCTGGTCCCTGCAGTCATTATCATTATCAACAGGATCACCAGAGTATTACAGACACCCTTTCATATACACACGCCCACGGGGCCATTAAATGATCACAGCCCTTGCATTAGTGTCTTCTAGGATATTGCATCTTAAGGCTTTGAAAGCCAGGTTGCACCGACCCCCTACTAGCAGAGAGCCACATAATGAGGGAGGAAATTAAAAAGGGAACAATCACACGGAACTGTCTTTCGAGAGAAGAGATGAGAAATTCCATCTGAATGGAGCTGAATTAAGTTTGGGTATTACAGTTAAGTCCAAGCAGTGGGGCTGGCAGGGTTTTGGGGTTCTGCACCGTTATTCCCTAGACCCCAGGTGTCAAGGTTGTTGGAGAACTGCAGAGAAAGGACAAAGTCCTGCCAAGAGCCCAAAAGTTTAGGGTCCTTTACAATTTGAAGGTCAGGAAGCCCTACTCAGGACAGCATCCTTAACCCCGGCAGCTGTTGGCATCGCCTTGGAATATCTGGTAAGAGTGTGGAGGCCCAGTCTCTGGCCTTGACCCCCTGAGTCAGACCCCTTGGAGTGGGGCTCAGACAGGTGAAGTCCTGAGAGCTGACTCTTGGCCTGCTGGTTCATCTTCCAGGCTCTGGCTAGTGTTTCACATGTATTTCTGCCTCTGTGCCCTTTGTTTATCTCTTTATTTAAGCCACTAAACAACTTTTTGGGATGACGGAAATGTTCTGTATCTGTACCATCCAATGAGTGGCCACTAGACACTGGTGGAATTAAGTCCTTGTGGCCAGGGGTGACCCAAGAATGGGAGTTTTAATTTTATTTAACTTTGTGACTTGGGCCACCGTACTAGAGAACCTCTGAGCTGAAAGGAACCTTGGAGATCACCGAGTTCACTGATCTCCTTTCAGTGGGGCTTGCGGATCCCCGCATGTCAGGGAGACACCAACAGCTGCTGTTTTCTGGGCTTGGGGCTTGGATGGCCAAAACATGGAGAGGTTCAGCTCATGACTCATAGGGGCTACCTTGATGATACAGTGACCTTGATTTTGAAATGCAGAAATAAAGTAATACCAGAAAGAACGCGAACTTTCATTCAGAGATGACACCTATGTGCTACGTGGCCCACACCTGCTTCTCATTAAGTCCCTAGCCATGGAGCTCCAGCCATGTGACTGCTGTTCTGTCTCTTGAACAGGCCTGCTCAGAGCCTCCGTGCACACTGTCCCCAGTGCCAATGCTCTTCCTTTCATTGCTCCCAAAGCTCTCATCTTTCAAGTCTTGCTTTCAGGTCACCTAGGAAAGAATCTCCCGGATGCTTCCTAATCAAGCTTTCCCTCCTTCCTTGCCTCCCTCTGGACAGCAATGACTGGAATGTGTATTGCTGGGCCCCCCAGATTAACGTGCAGTGTGCTGAACTGGAGGGAAGCCCTGTCTCTGTGGCACCTAACACAGCACCTCGCACACAGCAGAAGCTCAGTAAAGACTGTTGACTACATAAAGAATCATCAGAGTTGTCCTTTTGGGCAGGTCTCTTTTATACCATTTTATAGACAGGATATAATACAGTTATTCAAGTTCACAGAGCTAACCAAGGGCAAATTCAGAATCCCTCTCAGGAGTAGCAGAGGCAGAGTCTGAGCTCCCTGTACTTAGCCCTGACCCCTCTTGCTCATGGCTGAATCTGGGGGTGGTGGAAATTTCTAACTCTTAGAACCCCCAAAGTTGACTCGTTTGCAGAAAATACTTCAGAAAGACTCCCCAAATGCAAAACAATATTATGCATGCAGCCTGAGCCCAGAATGGCAGGTGTGATTTAGTGACAGGTCTGAATGACAGGCTATTTGAAGGATATTGGCATCCCTGCCCCATCCTGTAGAAGGCTTTCCCCTCTCATCGTCAGAAGGGCCTCTCTCTCCTGTGAATCTCAAATGCCTTTGCCATCTCCACCTTGCCACTGAGTGTCCAATTATGTGCTGACTTCCCTTATCTTCTTTTACCAGTCTTAACTAACTGTATCTACACCTGCCTTGCTAACTAGCTAATAAAGTTGGGGGGCGGGGTGCAGGGACTGAGTCTTCTACTTATTTTGTTCTCTTTGGTGCTGAGCGTGTGACGGTAGCTGTAAAGCAAGCTGGCAGTGTGCTGATAGGGAAGGTTCTGCCGATGAATCAAAGAAATGAAATTTTTGATAAAGCCATGAAGGTCCTTGTTACTGCCATGTGCCCAGTGGCTTGTGAGGGTGTGGGGAGTTTATGTAGGTGAGTCCGTCTAGGATGTAGGTGAGCCTGTAACTGCATGCCACTGTGTGTTGCTTTGCACACTCTTTTATCAATCAGCCCCATAGGGATGGATGTCACTGGACCTTTAGGGGAGCAGACTGAAAACCTGGCAATGCCTGTCCACCTTGTCTGACTTTCCTCTATTAAAGGGCACCCATGTGTTCCTGTCCATGCCCCAGACTCTGACCACAAGCACCAGCAGCTCACAGAATCCTGGGTTTCTGGCTGACTCCTTTCCCAACATGCTGCACTTCCTCTGCTGGGCTTACTGAAACAGTCCCCAAGGAATTTTCTAGGCTCAGTGACTACTGCAGATATGAACAACCCAGACCCATGGGCCCACAGGAAGGCCACTCTGCTCTGTGACTCGGCTCTTGGCTTAATTTCAGGGTAACAGACAAAGAGGGTGGCTCCGCATTGTGTCTTCCCAACCCTGTCTAGAGGTGACCACTTGGGTGGCTGAAATGGCCCCTGGCAATTTTCTCACGGTCACTTCTGCGTTTCAGTTAAGCAAGCGATCTAGGTTTAAGAATTCACACGGCCATCGTAAAGCTATTTTCCCCCCTCACTCAGTACACATCTTTCCAGAATGAATAAAAATTATAGCCTACCAACATCTTCATTTTTCTTAAATTGGTCTCTGCGTAAAAAACCCACTGCGTGTTCACCCACAGTCCTCCTGTGCTTTTTTTTTTTTTTTCTCATTCTCTCTCTCTGCTCCCATACCCCACTGGGCCCCTGGCTGACCTTTAGGATCCAGTGGGCACACGAGACAACCACAGGTGGCTAAGGGCTCTGACGCGCACATGTGCAGGGTTGGTGGTGCTGCTGGGGACTCACCCAGAGGGTGGGGAGTGCTTGGTGGCCTGGTGGGGAGGCGGCGTCCCCCTTGTCCGCCTTCTTGGAGCTGCAGCTCTGGGGCTGTGGCCACTCGGGCTCCTCTTCCACTTGCTGCTCACTTTTGCTTTTCTGCTTCCTTATGATCTGGTGGGAGTGAAGGGAGGCCAATGAGGACAAGTTATTGGGAAGGATGCCAGAGACCTGGCACCACCTCTGGGGTTTTCTTTTTCAGCTACTTAGGAGTTTATTTTCTATAGAACATCAGCTTGGTTCAGATCTGTCTTTTGATAAAATAGCATGTACAGCCTTGCTGTGGTCTGTGTCTGGAATGTTCCCTAAAGGCTCACGTGTTAAAGGCTTGTGGTCTCCAGTGCAGCCATGTTCAGAGGTGGGGTTTTGGGGAAGTGATTGAATCATGGGGGCTCTGACCTCATCAGTGAATGAATTCTCTGATGGATTAATAGTTGGATGGAATTACTGGAAGGTAGTAAAAATGGTAGGGGGGCTAATTGGAGGAAGTCAGTCATTGGGGCATATCCTGGATATTTTTTTTTAATCCCTGCCCGCTTCCTCTTCCTCTTTCTCTCCCCAGGTCCCATGAGCTGAGTAACTTCCTCCACCATGATGTTTCCTTGGAGTCAGCTGACCATGGACAGAAACTTCTGACACCATGAGCCGAAATAAAGCCTTCCTCCTTTAAGTTACTTATGTCAGGTAATTGGTCACAGTAACAAGAAGCTCACTAATACAATCCTTGAATGTTCTGCTGCTCTCTACAGTTTATAAATATAACTGTCCCTCTGAATCCACAGAGAATTTGTTCCAGGAACCTCTCTCCCCTGCAGATACCAAAAACCATGCATGCTCTAATTCCTTTTAAAAAATGGCATGATATTTGCATGTATCATATATACATCTTCCTGTGTACTTTAAATCATCTGTAGATTATTTATAATACCTAATCCATTATAAATGCTAGGTGAATAGTTGCTAGGCTGCATTGTTTAGGGATAAATAACAAGAAAAAGAAGACCTGGGTGTGTTCAGTACAGAGGCAACCATCACAGATCTGGGTACCTGGTAGATACCAGGGGAATGATGCTCCAATGAGTCCTGGAGAGGAATGAAGGGCCTGTGAGATGGCAAAAGGCTGCAGCAGGTGTGCTGGAGCATGCCTTCATTCATGTGGACTCGGACTAGTACTTAGTGCATGGCCAGTTCAAGTTTTGCCCTTTGAACTTTCTGGAACTTTTTCCTCCCTGATTGAATATTTTCAATCCATGTCGGTTAAGAAGTACAACCATGAGATACATCCACAGATATAGACCATACACCAACTAGAACCCTTTTATGATGATAGCAGCTTCTTCTATCTAAGTGTCCACCATGTTGGACTGTGTTAGGTACCATATGGGCTTTACCTCATTTAGTCCTCAAGATATCTATAAAAGTTATGCACGACAATTCTCCCCATTTCATAAATGAGGAAACAGGCTCAGAGAGATTAAATTATCAGTTAAGGCCACATGGCTTATAAGTGGTTGCACTGTCACGGTGACCAAAAGACCTGACAAGAACAGCTTAGAGAAGGAAAAAGTTTACTTTGGCTAATGGCTTCAGAGGTAACCACCAGTGTCTCTGGATGCAAGTCCTGACATTAGGAAGCATCTGAAAGTCCTAAGGACAGGGCAGACACCAACATCAGGTGGGGGTGGCTTCAGCTCCAGCCAATGAGCACCAGTAGTAATGTAGGTTTTCGTGGGGCCATCTGTACAAAGGTCTCTGGGCTCTCAAATTCTATAGGCAGGAAGCAGTCAAGAAAACTTCCCGGGGAACCAAGATGGGCATATTCTTCAATGCCCTTTTAGACTAGAGAGGATAATGAAAGGAAGACTCTGTGAGCCAGGGAACAAGGAACTGAGGAGCCTGACCAGGGACAGACCTGAGCCTAATTGGGGTATGTCCCTCATCTACAGGGTGGGGACCAGCCCTTTGTCATGTGCTTTTGCAGTCCCTCCCAGTACAGGGAGAGTATACTTCTCAGTCCTTGGCCTTGATCGTGACCTTGGGACTTGCTTCTGTCTATGGTATGTGAATCATTAACAGTGGTCAGGGCTGGTTAAGAGCCACCATGTGCTTCTTGCTCTCCCTGTGCTCCTGTCACGGCTCCATGTTTGCTCTTCAGCTCCCCAGGTCCCTGATGCTGCCTGCCTGGGAGACTGCAGCCATCTGGATTGTTAGGGCACACCTACCTTCTGCAGTATTGTGGTGGCCAGCTCCTCAGTTAGCTCCTCCTTGTGATCCCGCAGGTAACTGGCCTCGTTCTGCTTGTCCTGCAAGGGAAAGGAATTGAGGGGATGAAGTATCACTGTCTTGGAGGAGTCCTGACCACACGTGCAGATGGGGTCAGACACTGGTCTAGTAAAAGCTGTTGGGTCACTGACGTCCCAACTTACCTGCACCACCTCCCAGCAACAAGGACCCTCACCCCAACCTCCCACCAGGGAACAGGGAAGCCCTACCAGACTGTCCCCATGGGCCTCGGCTTTGGAAATGGCTTCTTCAATGGCCTCTTCTGCTACTCGTAGGGCGACGGCCAAGGTGTCCATCATGCTGTGTCCTAGACATGAAGCAGAACAGGGAGCACTTTCTAAAATGCAGTGGCAAGCCACAAGACTGCTTTACCTTCAGCTTCTGCTTAAAGCCTTTGGGGTGCCAGGACAAGGTCCAGCTACTTTCAGTGGCAAGTTCAAGTTCCTTGCCCTTCCCGCCTGCCTCCCTCTGACTCCCACTCTTCATTCAGATCTCACACCCCAGACACAACAGGTGTTTTGAAATTCTTTGAGCACTACCGCCTCTCTTCTTAATTCTCTTATTTTGCTCCTCTGCCCTGCATATACTGTATCATTGTGATGATAGGGACAGAAGTTATCATATGTCCTAAGGACACAGGGCTGTGCCAGTGGTTTAATGCAAACACAAAACCCATGGGAGAATTTTTTTTTTTTAGACCATAAATCAACATCACTAACCACAACACTGGCCAAGCTCACAGAGTTCAACCAGATGCCAGGGCCCAGGCTGAGAGTTTCACATGGGCAACCACACTGAATCCTTCCAAAAACCAATGACGAGGTACTATGCAGAGACCATTTTACAGATGGTAAATTTGAAGCACCGAGAGGTTAAATAACTTGACTGAGATAAGAACATAAGACAATAAAAGAACTAAGATTTGAATTAAGTACTCTGTCTCTAAAGCCTGTGATTTTAACCAGAAAAGTGAAATGAATACAAGCTAACATTCCTTTTAAAAATAGTGCAATTGTATTTTTTAGCGAACACACTCTTTGTATATGGCAGTGAATGGGAAGAAGTATTGTCTAAATCAAAGGACTTCCCCAGGTGAAGAAATTCTTTTCGGAGGTAAGTGCTGGGAAGAGTTCTGCTTCCCTTGAGGTACTGGAGTTTTGCTTCATATCTGTGGGAATTTCTATCATCTTTCCGTTAGTTTGCTTCAGAAACCCAAGTTATATCAGGCACAGGAATGTGAGTCTGAGAGGGTTGGGTGCTTAGGTTTCTTTTCCCCCGATTTCAGCCTCTTATTTCCATTTATAATCTCCAAGCCATGTATTATTTAACACATGCAAATCCCCTGAAAGCTGCTGAAAACTCCTTATGGAACAAGACAGGGGGCAAACACATTGATTCATTAATTAATCACTTGCTCAATTAAAAAAAAAACATTCAAGCTTCTTAGACTCCTAAAGACACAAATGTGAACAGAAACTAGCATTTGGCAAACATAATAAAGTTTCTAAAACCAACACAGTTAGTGCAGGTCAAAGCGATTTAGCCAGCTAATGCAAACATGATGGAGCAGCACAGGGCAATCGAGCCTGGGGCTCTGCATCCTGTAGTGTTCCTGACTGAGTGCACAAAGAGTTTTCCCAATGTTTCAATAATCGGAACCAATAAAATCTAAGTTGTCATCACACCAAGCGCTTCCTGGAGAAAGACCCTATATCCCCTGTCTCTCTTTATCGTGATATCATGAAGAGGTCCACATTCTCATTGAACAAACTTTTGCTGAGTACCTCCCCTGAGCTAAGCTCTGGGGTGTCCGCAGTGATGCTCTAACGGATAAGGTGAGTCCACATTCTAAGCTATAGGGTGACCAGGTACCCAATTGATAGGGAATTACCAAGTCCCATAGATCCCTGGAAAACAAGCAGCTGGAGCCATAATTAGAAAGGCTTTGGATGCTATATTTATTTATTTATTTATTATTAATTAATTTATTTTAATTAGGTATACATGACAGGAGGATGCATTTTGATTCATTGTCCACAATAGCAGCACAACTTTTCACTTCTCTGATTGTACATGATGTAGCATCACACCATATGTGCAGTCATACATGTACCTAGGGTAATGATGTCAATCTCATTCCACCATCTTTCCTGCCCCCATGCTCCCTCCCCACCTCTCCCCTTTTCCCCATCAAAGCACCCTTTCATGTTCAAAACACTAGAAAAACTAGGGATAGTAGGAACATATCTCAACATTGTGGAAGCTATCTATGCTAAACCCAAGGCCGACATTATTCTAAATGGTGAAAAATTGGAAGCATTCCCTCTAAAAACTGGAATAAGACAAGGATGCCCTCTTTCACTACTTCCATTCAATATAGTCCTTGAAACTCTAGCCAGAGCAATTAGACAGATGAAAGAAATTGAAGGGGTATGAATAGGAAAAGAAGAACTCAAACTATCATTATTTGCTGATGACATGATTCTATATTTAGAGGATCCAAAAAGCTCCATTAGAAACTTCTAGAATTAATAAATAAATTCAGCAAAGTAGCAGGATATAAAATCAATACCCATAAATCAAATGCATTTCCATATGTCATTGATGAATCCTCTGAAAGAGAAATTAGGAAAACTACTTCATTTACAATAGATTAAAAAAAATGGGAATCAACAAAAGAGGTGAAAGACATCTACAACGAAAACTTCAGAACACTAAAGAAAGAAATTGAAGAAGACTTTAGAAGATGAAAAGATCTTCCATGCTCTTGGATAGGCAAAATTAATATTGTCAAAATGGGCGTACTACCCAAAGTGCTATACAGATTCAATCTGATTTCAATTAAAATCTCAATGTCATTTCTTACAGATATAGAAAAAGCCATCATGAAATTCATCTGGAAAAATAAGAGACCCAGAATAGCCAAAGCAATCCTTAGCAGGAAGAGTAAAGCAGGAGGCATCACAATACCAGACCTTAAACTAGACTACAAAGCTATAGTAACAAAAATGGCATGGTATTGGTACCAAAATAGACATGTAGACCAATGGTACAGAATAGAAGACCCAGAGACAAACCCACACAAATACAGTTATCTCATACTAGACAAAGGTGCTAAAAACATACATTGGATGCCATATTTATGATTCCGGGATCAGAATGATGTGGAAAACAGGCTGAAAAGTGAAGGTTTAGGCTGGTATTTCAGAGAGAAAAACTGCTGGGGATGTAAAAGAGGGTTTGTTAAATGACATAATGTTTGGTTTTATGTGTTACTTGGCTAGGTCATCGTATCTAGTTATTTAATCAAGCATTAATCTATGTGTTTCTTTGAAGGTATTTTGTAGATGTGGTTAATGTCTACAATCAACTGACTTTATGTAAAGTAGATTACCCTCAGCAATGTGGGTGAGCCTAATTCAATCAGTTGAAAGGTCTCAGAGCAAATACTGATGTTCCCCAGAGAAGAAATTCTGTTTAAGGACCGCATCATATACTCCTGCCTGAATTTTCAGACTGCTGGCCTACCCTATGGATTTCAGGTTCTCCAGGCCCCAATGACTGCATGAGCCCGTTCCTTGAAATGCATCTCTCTGTGTGTATGTACACAAACCATATGGCTCCCATTGGTTCTGTTTCTCTGGAGAACTCTGTCTGACATAATGGTCACTGAAATTAGTATTAATACAGAAGAATTTCTTGCAGGGAGCTGCTCAGACTATGAGCCTCAGAGTGGAAAGAAAAGGCTAAGATTAGAAACAGAGGTGGTAGGCAATGGGTGGATGGGTAGAAGTGGGGAAAGAAACAGAGGAAAAGATGACTTTCATTGGTGGACCTAAGGGGCTAAGGGGCTTGATTAGGATATGCTGAGGTTAAGAATCCTATAGGATCTTTGTGTCCTAATGACTAAGCATTAGATTTCTGAGTCTAGAACTCTGGGTTGAAACCAAGGCTGGGCATTTCAGGGTCAGCGACAAATAGCTGTGCACTGAGGCCATATGACAGCGTGTGGTAGCCCTTGGGGATGTTACTGGAAGTAAGGGTGACTGCAGATGGAGTCTTCAGGAGAATTTTCAGGAAAGATTTGTCTGTCTGTCTATCCATCCATCCATCCATCCCTCCATCTATCTCTTATGGAAACTGGGTCATAGGATCATGGAGACTGGCAAGTTCCATGATGTGCTGTATGCAAGCTGAAGTCCCAGGAAGGCAGGTGGTGTGATTCAGTCTAAGTCTGAAGGCCTAAGAATTGTGGGAGTCATTTGCCTAAGCCCTGAAGTCTGAAGGCATCAGAAGCTCTTACGTCTGAGGGCAGGAGGGCATGAATGCCTCAGCTCCAGAAGAGTGAGTGAATTTACCCTTCTACCATCTTGTTCTATCTAGCACTGTTATGTTCTGGATATGGGGTGTCCCCCCAAACTTCCCGTGTTCATGCAGTAATACTTGGGAGGTGAAATGACTGGATTGTGAGAGTGATAACACAATCAGTTCCTCTTATTTTGAATGGACTGACTGGGCGGTAACTGTAGACAAGGGGGGCCTGGCTGGAGGAGGTGGGTCACTGGGGGTGTGTCCTGGAAAGGTTCATCTTCCCTGATACCCCTTCCTCCTTCCTTCTCTCTACTTCCTGACCCCACCTTGAGCTAAGCAGCTTTCATCCATCCAGCCCTTTGGCCACGATGCTCTACCTCACCTTGGGCCCAAAACAATGGAACTAGCAGAGATGGACTAAACCTCTCAAACCAAAATAAACTTTTCCTTCTCTAAATCCTTCTTGTCAGGTACTTTGGTCTTGGCAATGCAAAGTGGACTACACACAGGTCCTCAAGGGATTGGAGGATGCCCACCCACATTGCTGAGTGGATCTTTACTCCACCAACTGATTCAAATGCTAAACTCTTCTAAAAACACCCTCACAGACGCACTCAGGAATACTGTCTTACAGGAGACCTGAGACCTCCTTAGTTGAGTAGACATATGGAATTAATCATACGGAACCCAGAGAAAGAACAGAGACGGTGCAGAAGAGCTGTGGGCCTCCCACAGGAGGTGGATGATTCAGGAGGCACTGGTACCAACAAGTAGAAGGTAATCAGTAGGTTATACTTTCTTTATAGGGCACCATATTTTAATGAGATGCACAGGTGAATGGATTATTATGTTCCAACTCCAGAACATTAACTAGTGGATTGTAAAATATCCAATGATCGGGTGGTGAACACAGCTCTCTAGGCCATGCTTGGGATATACTCACCTATTTTGATGATGGATTCTTCCAAATAGCAATAAGAAGACTCATACAGACTAACACATAGCAATAAATGGTTGCATTGGAGTGTGGATATGACTGGGAGACCCTGACAGTCTGATGGTGTTTCTATTCCTCCAACTTCCCAGGAGCTGTGATCTCTTAAGCAACCTTACCTTCTGACTGCCTATAAAATGTTGAGTCACTGCCTGAAATGCTTCCTTCATTCTCCAGGTTAGACTCAAAAAAGCCTCCTCCTAAAGGAGAGAGAGAGAAAAAAAAAATGATTAGCCTTCAGCAATCAATGAGTACTGATGTGCTGAGTCCTGGAATTGGCAGCAGACCATGACACTTTTGATTGTTAGTCTTGCAAACAGATTGAGAGAGTCACTGGGTCCCACATTGATGTTCCAATCTTGGACCTATGTTTTTTTTCTTCTCATACTGATTTCTGATCATCCCCCGCAACTTTCTTCCAATACATTTTCCTATGGTTTGAATGTTTGTTCCCTCCCAAACTCATGTTGAAATTTAATCCCAATGCAACAGTATAGGGAGGTGGGGCCTAGTGAGAGGTGATTAGGTCCTAAGGGCTCCACCCTCGTAGGTGGATTGATGCTGTTTCAATAGGAGTGGGTTAGCCATTGCAAGTAGGCTTGTTATCATGGAGGGATCCTCTTGCTCTCTTGGCCTCTCACCAGTGATCTACAGCTGTGTTCTACCTTCTACCATGGATGACATGTTCTTAGACTTCTCAGCCTCCAGAACTGTGAGCCAAATAGACTCCTATTGTTTATATATCACCCTGTCTCAGGTATTTTGATAGAGCAACACAAAACACACTACGATTCCTTTCAGGCAATATGGAGTCAAAGGCAGAACCACATATCAAAATCTGAGAAATGTGAAGTCAGCTCCTGGACATGAAAATTACTAGTTGTGTGACCTTGAGCAAGTTACTTCTCTTCTCTAACATGTGACTTCCAAACCAGAAAAATAGGAGTATCAATTCTACTCTCTGATGTGTGAAGAGACATTCCACACATCATTAGCTAGAGGCCATGGCACCCATCCAAACAGAGGCCTTTAGCTAATGATTTAATGGTGGACATTCTCTTCTGCAGGAAAGAACCCACATGAAGCAAACCCAGAATGAGCCAGGTAAGCCTGGTTTTCAGTCTCCTAAGACCTTCTGCCACTTCTCTCAAGGGAACACATAACCCTGGTCTTCATTCCAGTCTGGGAAGAGCAACTGGCTAAGACCTTTTTTAAGCCCTCTTTCTGGATAAGGATTGTTAACCTGTGCTCCCTTAATAACTCATCAGCTGAGATCTCTGGAGGTGAGGATAATGGTTTTTCTTTCTTTAATCACTGTACCTCAGAGCCCAAGATAGCAACCAGACATCAGGTGACTCCAAAAATTAAAAATAAAAATATTTTGAATTAGATGCTGGTTGAAGACACAGACAAATCCCAAGAAAATAAATATGGACCTACATTCCTTAGCTCCAAAGGGGTAAAATGCTATTGATCTCAGGCCAAATAGGCTGTCAAGGAGGCATTCACAGGGAAACACTGAAGGTATTGGCTGTGGATATTTGTAGTGGGTTTGGTAGGCTACTGCTGTCTTTAGGAAATAAATCATTAATGTGCAGCCTATAATCGTAATTCAGCCTGACCATATGTCACTCTCTGTGTTTGAGTTTTTAGCCTGAAGTCCATCTACTCTAGCTCTGTGACCTGAGAAAGAAACTTTCTCTCCCTAGGTCTCAGTTTCCTTACTTTGAGAATAAAGTTTCTGGATAAGCCACATCTGCAGTTCCCAGTCTGTCTGAGAATGGTTCTCTTTGGCAAAACCTCATTCAGCATTCATTCATTCATCTTGCAAATAAATAGTTCACAGTTATCTACTAGGTATCTGAGCTTAAACTAGGCATTAGGGGCACATTGGTGAGGAAAGGTGGAAACCCTCCCTGCCCCAACAATCTTGAGAACATAGTGTAGTCAAAGACTTGCATAAATAAGTAGCAAGTAGCAGATATGTTAAGTGCTCTGAAGGGGTAGTTAACACAGTATAGTGAAAATGTTCAGCAGGAAAGACAGGTCTAGTCTGTGAGAACCAGCCAATCAGGTATGGGAAGGTGGGAGATCAGCGTGGGCAGAGCAAACAGCTGGTGCAGAGACTGGCAGTAGGAGAGCATGGTGCATCTGGGGACCCAACTGAGAGGTAGCGTGGCTGGGCTGAGAGAGGAGAGGGCATACAGGTAAGGTGAACTGGGACACAGGCCTTACAGGTCCCCGTGGCCACATTAGTGCTTGGATCTTGATCCAAATAGCTATATGAAGCCACTGAAGGCTTCACAGAGGTGTCTCTGAAATGTGCTGTGGCTGCTGTGTGGAGAACAGCGTGGGAGGGGCAGAGGTTGGGTATAGAGTTGAGAAAACCTACTTTCTGGAGTTCACCTGTGATGAGCAGGAATAGCAGGGTGGTAAGTGGAGGAAAATGCAGTGAAGGGAGAGTTTACGAAATGGGAGAGACTGGGGCATGTTCATAAATTAATAGGAAGGGCCCAGTTAAGAGTTTGAAGCCCTGCACAGTGGCGCACACCTGTAATCCCAGCAGCTCAGGAGGCTGAGGCAGGAGGATCATGAGTTCAAAGCCAGCCTCAGCAAGTTAGCAAGGCTCTAAGCAACTTATTAAGACCCTATCTCTAAATAAAATATAAACAAGGCCTGGGGATGTGGCTCAGTGGTTGTAGTGCCCCAGTGTTCAATCCCCAGTACCAAAAAAAAGAGAAAGGCAAGCAGTAACATTCAGGCCTTCCTGGAATGTGGTGGGATCAGGTGTAGAGAACAAGGCAGGGGGCAGATCACAGAGCAGAGGGGCAGTGGCTCTCACTACAGGAGCACAGAAGGGGGAGACAAGATAGTCCCTGGTGTGCCCCATTTGCCAGGGGTGGTAGAAGGTGAGGTCACTTGTTGAGAGGATGAGGACAGAGATCTGAAGACGTCTTTGGGGGCCTGAGCTTCTCAGAGGATAAGCTGAAGTTCTGTATGACTTTCTCTCTGTTTCCCTTTAAATTCATAGATAGGAGCATTGGTGTCATTTAGGATGATGTGATTTTCCCCAAGGGCAGAAAACCATCAAATTGTTCCTCAAAACACAGACACAGCAGCCACACGACATCAAACCACTGCTCCCTGTGAGTGGAAGGAAACTCTGATGTCATGTGGCTTAGTATTTTCAAAAGATCACATGTGTCAATCAAATTCCAGATGAAAGATGCAATAGACCCTTTCTGGAATCATGTCAAAAACAGATCAAGAGTGGTAATAAATAAAAGCACGGTTTATTTTTCCATTTCATTTATCTAATACTAAATAAAAATGTCTTTGGATTGTCTGATAATTAAGTATATTAATAATGGCTACTTTTTTTTTTTTTTTTTTTAGAATAACTGCTAAAAATATTGCGCTGGGACTATAAATAAGCACTCACTACCACTGGGCATTATATTATTTATAAATGTGTTCACTTGTTTCTCCATTAGAATGTTGGTTCTGAGATGACGGGATCTTGCCCATTTATTATCCCAACACTTCAACCAGGAGGGCACATAGTAGGTGCTCAGTAAATGTTACTAAAGTAATGAATATAAGCTGCATTCCCAACCCTAAGTGAATGGGTCTCCTTTTGGGTCTAACCTGGTCATTTGATATGGGCTGCAAAAATAGAAGTAAGGGTAGCGGGGGAGGGTTGGGAAAGGGCTGATGGAAGGACAAGGTGAGCATGTGATGGGGAGCCCAGAAGACAATACATGAATTTTCAATGTACTAAGTGTTTTCTGGGAAAGCACTGGCCCATGTAATGGAGATGTGTCATAAGCAAGAAGAGTTTTACAATGAGTGTCCTGGATCATAGCTGATGCATCGTGCACTGATGGTTTTGCCGATTATATTCTGGCAATGAAAATTCTGAAAATAAGTACCCTTGGATGGAGCTGAAGATTGAAACATCTTATTCAGAACTCTGCTGAACTAATTATGGTGAAGTTCTAGCTGAGGTTCTCAGTCTTGGATGTACCTTAAAATAACCCAGGGAACTTTAAAAAATATGCATATTGGCTCACCTCTGGAAATTCAGAAGTAATTGACAGCAGGTGGAAGATGATCCTGGGCTCTTGAATTTTTTTCCAAACCTGCCTAGGTAATTCTAATGCCTAATCAGGATTGAGGATGGCAACCCTAAACGGGTGTTAGGTGACAGGTAAAGCTAATGCTAATGACTCCCCAGTCATTTCACCTAACCAGGAAGCCTCTAAGGCACTGGAGGATTTTTCCAAACTTGAGTACCTAACTTTCCTCATGGTTTGTAGAACACACTGCATTATTTTCTGATCATGGCTTCACAGGTTTGACTGCTACTTCGCTAACTGTCTACTATCTGCTTGTCTCCATTTTTATCAAAAGGAAGTCTTAGTTTGAAGGAAGATACCCATCTTTATTTTTTATTTTTCTAGTACTGGGGATTGAATCCAGGGCCTTGTGCATGCTGAGAATATGCTCTGCCACTGAGCTACATCCCAGTCATACCCCTCATTTTAAATCAACTGATTCCAATATTTCCATGAAGTGTCTCTTTATGCACAAAATGCTAAGATTGGACTAGTGCAATACTGAGAACACAGATGTGCCAGGAATTGGGCCATGCTTTGGGAACCAGACATAAAGAAGCTTTCACCTGTGTACCATGGGGGTCACCTGAATGTACTGTGGTGGACATTGATTGAGGTGCAGATGAAAGGAGATGAATCCTAGTGGGCCCAGCACCTAATCTCCTTCAGTTGTGGAGATACTTATTCCCAGAAAATGATTCTTCTTTCAAAATACCACTTGTATTTTGAAAACCCTGCATTAGCCCACGAGGTATTCATGTCTGCCTTCTCTACGTGTGGGGCTTTAGAGAGAAAGGGAAAGAAATTGGAATTGTGTTCTATTCTTATAGAACTCCCCACACATGTTTGCTCTTCTTCTTAATTTGCATGAAGTGGTAGAAAACGCTTAGAAGATTTAAATGTGGTGTTATAAAGCGGGTACATAAGGCAGACCCGAGTATGCACAAGAGAGGATTGGATATAAATGAGTGAGTGGATTCTGTTCTGGAAACTTCTTCAGATATCTGTTTGAGTCAAAAAACTGTTAATAGGGCTGGGGTGTGGCTCAGTGGTAGAATGCTCGCCTGGCATGCAGGAGGCACTGGGTTGGATCCTCAGCACCACATAAATGTAAAGTAAAGATATTGTGTTCACCTAAAACTAAAAAATAAATATTAAAAAAAACCCTGTTAACAGCATTACTTTAAAATTTTATTTCTTTTTTGCCTGGTGAAAAACTTTTAGAAAAATAAGTAAAAAGAAGATAAAAATAACACGTGGAAAACCTTTGGCTGCTCTCAGCTCTAGGCTTCCTGAGGAGTTTGAAAGACAGAGAGTCTAACAACGACCACAAAAGGCCCTAATGATTCTCTGAGTTTAATACTTCCATCCTATTTCCCTCGTTATCTAAGTGGCTGGCATATTTTTAGATAAGACACAACCAAAGGCTTTATTGAGAATACAACAATGTAAAATAATGATGGCAAGAAAGCTCCAAATGAGATGGATGAGATATTTTTTTTCCTTTCCTTGTTTCGCATGGACAAAAAGCATTTACCTGTGTCAGCAGAGTGATGGAAAAAATATGCATCTAGATATAAAAAACAGCCTTTTTAAGAGGACATGCTGTTCATAATATTTTTTTTTTCCTACAGGTTGGTCTAATAAGGTATAAAGAACATAATCTCTCATTCTAATTAACTTGGTGTCGTGATGGTATAAAAACAGCATAGGTAGAAATTCATCCTTCAGCTCTCCTAGGAGGATGCTGATGCTCTGGTAAGTTCCCCATGACATCAGACTCTGGGTCTGGTAAGAATAGACTTTTGGGGTATAGGAAGAAGAGAAAGACAGGGGCACAGCCTCAGAGTGTGGACCTCGTCTCTCTTAACCAAATGAAAATGACTTTCAACTGTTTTAGTCATTGGGGAATGATGAGCAAGAAACTTTCATCTCCAGGGATCCAGAATTAAAATATCCATAGTTTGCAGAAATATTTTGGTCTTCCTTGCTCCTATCATGTCAGCTCTAGCCCATTTGGGATGTTGGGACCCAAAGTCAAATTTTAACACTGTCTGGTACCTTTCCTTCTCTTTCTGCTCCTCACTAACACCTGATCTTTAGGCAAATTTCTCTATCTCACGTGAGTGTGCTCCAGTGTGCAGGAGCTCCAGGCCTGGCCTTCTTCCAACTGTCCACCCACCAAACACTCCCAAGCCGCAGACAGTCAGGGTACCTAGAATGTCCAAGCTGGCACCGCTCTCCAGCCGGTGTTTCCGGTACAGGTTTTTTAGGACCTTGGCACTGCCGAAGCGCTTGAAGCGGCTCTTCACATTATTGTAGAACCATTCCAGAGACTGAGTCCTCAGAAGTCTGGGGAAACAGAGAATTAGAATTATTAAATGGTGAATTGTAAAAATTGCTACAATGCCGCACGGCCCCTTGCATTAAGAAGTAGTGTTTATTTTTTGCTTTAGTTTCTTAGCCCCTTGAATCTGGGCTGCTTTATCCCTTGGTCTGATCATATAGAGTGGCAGAAGTGATGTTGAATCCTTCTCTTGCTGCTCCTGGGAATCCTATAATCTTATGTGAAGAGAAGCCCAAGCTGGCCTGCTGTGAGATGCCATGAGATATACTAGGCGGCTCAATTATCCCTCTTGTCCCAGCCAATAGCCAGCCAATCCCCCGAAAGGTGAATGAAGCCATTGACTAGAGATGCCTGAGACGAGGGACCCTAGGTGAGACCCTCCATCCAAGTCCATCCCATGAACAAGCCAATAAATGCTTGCTATTTTACTGTTTTGGGTTGGTTCATTACACAGAAAAGCTAACGGATCCATCTACTTGATGGCAGCTTTATACTTGACACTTTCATTGCATTAAAAGTTTTAATCCAGCCTGGGAAAATAAAAAACATAAGTGAAATAGCAAAGTTCCCCAGCCTCAACCCCAATCAATGAAGCACTGAGGGGAAACCATTTCTTGGTTAGCACTGCAATGGTGAGTATGAAACATTTTGACAAGATTCTTCTCTTTTATGCAGATAAGAACATACTTCTAAATCCCTCCATTTTAAGGAAAGCTTTTGTTGTTATTTTTTCTTATTATGAATGTAATGACAAACCCTCATTTTAGGAAATTCAGAAAAATGAAACGAAATATAAAGGATTTCAGTTCAATAGAAGTACAATCACACATTTAGCAGCACTCTTTTCTTTCCCAAACTCCAGAGAAATGACAGAAGATGTTGAAGGGGAAAGAAACGTATAAAAAGTATGGGGAGTAGGGGAAGAATCAGAGATTTTGACAAATTCCCAGAAATTCGGAGTAAATGAGAGTATACAGGTAACAGAGAAGGCCATCCTTCAACATAGAAAGAAGAACTCAAACTCTTTGGATGGTCCAGTTTTGAGTGGGGTGATTTAGAGAGCAGGACAAAAATATAGCATTCAGAAAAGGGTGTTTAATGGTTATGTAGACAACAGTGAGGTCTCTTGGCTCCTCCATTTTTCTCAAATGGGTATTTGGTCCAAGGATGATTTGTCTTAGGCCATAAATAGAAAGCAGTTTTCTGAAGAAATTGCACAATCTACTGGAGAAGGGTTAGGACTCTAATATGGAGGTTAACATCACACAGGTTCCCCATCAATAACATGGAGATGATGGCCTCATAAGGCTGTTTTGACAACTAAAAGACATAACAGAAGCATTAAGGTACCTAGCATTAAAAAGGGCTCGATAATTTCTTATAATGACTTTACAAAGACGAGTCTCTTCCTTATACATGTGTAAACTGAGATTAGTGCCTTGCCCCAGGGAGCCAGCACTTGTGCAGGGATTTAAAAAATGGAAACTCTTAGCTGTCTTAGTGGTGCACACCTGTAATTCCAGGTACTTGGGAGGCTGAGGCAAGAAGATCACAAATTCAAGGCCAGACCCAGCAACTTAGTAAGACCCTATCTCAAAATAAAGATAAAAAAGGGCAGGGAGTGTAGTAGTTCATTGGTAGAGTACTTGGTTAGCATGTGCAAGGCCCTGGGTGTGGTCCCCATCATTAGCACATACATATACAAACTGGGAACTCTCAACCATGCACACGTGGTACCCATAGGCACCCAGTGTAAACAGGGACAGGCTCCAGTTTATTTTCTGTAGCATTTCAACTTGTTACAAAAAACATCTGTCGTTTTGATTAAAAACTCCAAAAGTTATTTTCAGAATTTAGAATAATATAGCAGAAAAAAAAGAAAATGCAGAAAAGCATTTTAAAATCATAACCTCTGGGGATGAGATTTATTTGAGCTTTACTAGCACCAAGGAAATGCAGGAAAGAAAGTTTCAGCCTGGCTGTCTCCTCATAACTGCCCCCTGAGCAGGTGGCCACAGCAAGGACATGCTGGAGGGTACCCTCTGTCGCTGGAGGGGTTTACACTGGTATTGGGGGACAGTTGTCGCTTTCCCCCAAACCAATTCTTCTGACACGAAGGACATTTATTTTTCCTATAGGATCCTCCCTCCTCTCTCTCCAACTTGGTCTTTGTGGTGGAAGGGTCATCTCACCCGCTCAGAGTCAGGGTTTGTCCTTTTGCTGCACTGGCTCTATGCAGAAGGGAAGATTAGAGATGCTGGGATCATCTTTCCCATCACTTTGAAATAGTCATGGTTTTCTGTATAAAAGTTAGGACCTGAATTTGAGATGCCCAACACATGCCCTGGTGAGTATTTCTGAACAAAAGCAGATCTGACACTGGAAAAGGACAGGATGTAGGTATGAGCCAACAAATTCTGAACCACCCCCTAACCCCCACCTTTTTTTTTTCACCTGAACATTTTGAGTTGGGTTTCTATTATTTGCAACCAAGAGTCCTAATACTGAGTTCTAAGTTCCAGATACACCTAAAAGATTACGATTGGATCATCAGACAAGTTCTCCATTCACTGTTTACAAACACTCCGGGCCATTCAGAAGCGTTTCGGCGAACTCTAAAATAGAATGGCCCAGCTTGCTCAAGACTCAAAGAGGAACCAGGGTACCACCCGGGGACTTCAGGAAAGTAAAGGACAACATGGAGCCCTCTATCTTAGACGTGTTCTTGAAGGGCCAAACTGCTGCTTCTCAGCCTTAATAAGCAACAGGTGAGGTGGCTTAGGAAGGGTGGGAGGTAAAAGAATTTCAGTGACAACTTTCCAACTGGAACTGCCTGCTTATTTTTTCAAAGATTCCAAGTGACCCCTGAGGATGATTCTGCAAACTCTGTGTAGTCTCACAAACTGAAGCATGATCATTTCTTTAAAGACTAAACATTTAAAAATTCCTGAAAATATTTTAAACATTAAAAAAAAATGTGTGCAGAGGTGAACACCTGTAATCCCAATGACTCCAGAGTCTTGAGATAGGAAGATTACAAGTTTTAGGCCAGCCTTGGCAATTTAGTAAAAACTTGACTCTAAATAAATAGATAGATAGATAGATAGATAGATAGATAGATAGATAGGGCTGGGGTTGTAGCTCAGTGGTAGAGTGCCCCTCGGTTAAAAAAAGGAAAAATCAACAGCGAAAATTTATCAATCACTACATAGGTGGAATTGATTACTTTTAGTCTTTGGGCCTGAAGTGTCCTCATCTGCAAAATGGGATATTAACTTATAGGGGTCGAGAAATAAACACTAAGTCAAGAGTGTCCAGAGGGAGACCAGAGCTCTAGTGCCTACTTGGCACTAGAGCCATTGAATCTGAGTGTGAGTGAGAACATCTTTTTAGCATGGTCTTTGGAAATTGTCCTGTGCCAAATACCTCAAATGGGTGGTTGGTTCTCAGTATGGGGTACATGTCCCCACAGGAGACATAGCATAATCTTTTGGCTGGAGAATTTTTTCTTGAACTTACATGTTTTTGGAAATTCTGATAAAACCTCCTTATGGACTCCCTCTGCCTCTACCTTACTCCATTCCTATGGAGATTAAGTATAATGAAAGATATTTCTGATGAGGCAGAAAACAAGACAGAAAACAATGCAAATGATGAGAATACACATCTGACACAGATGTGTGACCAGACCTGTCGTCTGAGAGCTCAAGTAATTGTCAGGGTAATAAGAAAGTGCCCTGGAAGTCAGAGGCTGGGGGACACTTATCTTACTATTGAAAGTATCCCTGAAGGACGGAGCAAGAGTGATAGTTCCAGACAGGCTGGCGAGCCCTGGGAATTATGCTGGGAAAGCACAGAACTGTGGATAAAGGTGAGCTTCTGGCCCAGAGAGAATGGAGTTCAAATTCTGGCTCTCTTGCTTTCCCAAAGTGGCACGTCAGACAAGTTAGTCCAGCCCTTGGTGCCTTGGTCCCCAGCAAAATGGAAATAACAACTGTGACTCCTCTACCAGTCGTGGAGGGTTAGCGACAGAATGTGAAGCATGTAGCAGACTTTCTGCATAAAACCACCGTTCAATGTGAAATATGTGTTATCAGTAATATCATTCACTAATGGCACAGGTTCCAATCCCAGTTCTGCCACCTGTTAGCTGTGATTCGGGGAAAGTCTCTTAACCTCTGTGCTCTGTTTCCTCACCTGCAAAACAAAGGATAATAAGGGCACGATGGGGTTTTGTGAGCCCAAGTCCATGGGAAGTGCTCATTCCTGAAAGTAACTACTAGGTCCACCAACCTCAAGAGTGCTTTCGAGGAGGAAGTTCATGCTGATGGGGGGAGGGTCAGGTGTCCCACTGTGAGTGTGGCTAAGGAAGTGGGGAGACCAGAAAGCTGGAGTTTGGGTGGGCAGGTGAGGCTCCCTTTTCCTGCTGTGGACAAACAGTAGGAGTAGGTATTCGTACCTACTTATCTCCCTTTCACAGATCCAGCAGCCTTCTGGTCCCCAAGTAGTTCATTAACTTTCATTATGGGGATTTGTACTCTGTGAAGTTTGCACAGGCGTACCTGTCCTAATGGTCCAGAAATGCCATCCTGGGACTCTCCCCAGAGAAGCACTTGCATGTGTCCCTAAGACTGTTCACTAATGCATTGCCTGTGTAGAAAAAGATGCCAACAACCATGGTTCATTCATTCTCTGTTCATCTACTTACTTGCTCATTCGTCAAATATATACTGGGCACCCACCATAAGCCAGGTGCTGATGTGAACACGGTACAGTGGATGAGGCTCCCAGTCTCAGGGTTTACTCACTAGTGCAAGGGGTAGGAGGTTAAGTGGAAAAGAAAAAAAGATACATTCTACATCAGGGGGAGTAATTGCCATAAGAAGAATGCAGTGGGATCGGAGAAGAGACCGGGTGGGGAAGGAGTGCTATTCCATGCAGGGTGGTCAGGGAAGTGCTCTCTGGTAAGGCGTTTTTTTGAAAAGAGATAAGATGGGGTGAGTCA